TTTTTTTGGCAAAATAAAGCTTTGCAGGAACAATGTATCAGAGGACATTACATTGTGCTTTTTATATTTAAGCTGATAAAGTAGTTATAGATCAAATTATGATCAATTGTGCTTGTCCAGAGCCTTGTCAAGATCAATCTCATTAGTTTAAATGTCAAGCTCATTATTTTTAAAGATAAGTGTATTTATGAGGTTATTCTTCTCCCAGACGGTAAAAGTTATCTCGGTACTGCTCCATTCTGAGCAGTAGTTTTGAACTGATCTGTAAACAATTTTAGAAATCAGTCCTGAAGGCAATTTAAATTTCAAAGAAAATTTGCCAAGAACTTTGGGTTCAACATTTTTCATGCTTTTAATAACTGAGTCCACTTTTTTTGTCATTGGGAGTTTCCAAGATCATCATCTGGTAAAACTGAATGACAGGAGTTGAGTCTCATACTATTCTGGAAAAAAATACTCTATGTAGATATATGAATTTTTGATGCCACTTTATTCACTTATGTCTTTCAACACTGTGCCAAAAAATATTTGCTGAAAGTATATATATTTTTATCCAGCCTTATAGATGACTTGAAATTTGTTATCACAATTCTGTCTGTGCTTGAAGGAACCGAAGACACAATGAAGATCCATCCTCAAGCAAATACTCTCATTGCAATGCAACCTAAAAGGGCAGGGAGCTGAAAGTTGGTATTTTTATAAAAGCTTTGCAATATACAGTAATTATACTTAACTGATTCCGTAGAAGCTTGTGTCCAAATGTACATTTTTTTGACAAGGGGATACAGGTAGTCCTCACGTTAAGAATGCCCAGTTTAAGGACTAACCATCTTTAAGAATGAAGCCTATTGTAGCAAAATTTGAGTTAAATACACAATGATTCAAGTTAAATACACAATGGTTCAAGTTAGTTACACAATACTATTTATGCAGTATTATACAATAATACTGTTATGGCTTACATACAAATTCAACTTAAGGACAGACCTTGGGAACAAAACTTGTTCTTAAACTGGGGACTACCTGTATAAGACTTTTAGGGATCCTGGTAGAATCCAAGTAGAAGATTGACTTGGGAAAAATGTATATACAGTAGTTCATCACCCAGTTACACACATGGGTATTTCAGGTGTGATGTCAGATTACCCAAGCATCTTGCTATCCTTGATTTCAGGGCTGTTATATTGCCCTGAGGTAACTGCTGACAACCTGGAGAGCTGATCTCAAATATAATTGCTGCTGTATTATTTTAAATAAGCCTGTACACAGTTCCTGACAGAACTACACGTTTGTTTGTTTTTTTAATCAGAATTTCTCCTACTCAAAAGACTGGAAATTTGATTTCATATAAGGAGACAATGACATCCATCTATCATTTCAGAGTTTTAACATCAGTACTCTATACACTGAAAAAGAGTAGTATGTATCGTAGTTCCATTTTATTGATAACCTCCTGATGGGATGTTGAATACATACTGGTAGGACAAGTACAAGCTTATTTGCCGAAGCTGCTGATTCAAACCCTGGGAATGACATTTATATGAATTCATCATGCAAAGACTAAGTGTTATGTTGGTTGTAGCTTTTTATGACTGGCTCTGAATATTTGTTCACCGTATGCAATTTGTGTTGCTGTGTTCACTACAGATGGCTTCTGAATGGTGTTCCAGCTGCCTTCCAATTGGGTGCATTACCTTTGGCCATGATGGCTAACAGTAACAGAAATCATAATCAACAGTTCAAAGGCACACAGATCCCCTTTGCAATGTTTTTCAAAACATTTAATGGTTTTGTATATTTGTCACTGGATATATCAATTTTCCATTCTTTCCATCTAATTGTACTTCATCTCATTTTCTGTGACTTTGGGCAGAATAACTGCTTTCTTTCCGGGTATGAAAGATTTGAATATTTTCACTGTGTATACAGTGAAACCAAGCAAAACCATCCATACTACCTGTTATCTAGCTTCAAGGTATGGTGGATGCTCCATTTTAGGTTTTTGTATTGTTTTTTGTTAGAATTATTTTGGCTGACCTTGAGAGCTAAGCAGGAGCAGGCCAGATTAGCACTTAAATGAGACACCACCATGAAATCCCACAGTTAGAGACTAGACTAGGTGGTTAAAAAAACATCTGGAGATGTTAGGAGCAGACCACATTTATATTATTATATTATTATATTAAACTTCATGGACAGGTTCAAAATCCTAATCACAGGTTATTTATAGCTAGCCCTATATCTAGAGAGCAAAAACTTTTTTAGTTCAGGAATAAATCCTCATTTTATAAATTTATAAAACCTTCCATAGTGTATGGAAATACATTAATAGTAACATTACAAATGTCCTCCTTAGCACATGTGTACAGGTAATTCTTGACTTACGACCATTTGTTCAGCAACCATTCAAAGTTACAGTGGTGTTGAACGAAGGGACTTATGACTGGTGCCCAAAGTTAAGCCTGTTGCAGCGCCCCTTGGTCATGTGACCAAAATTCAGGCACTTGGGAGCCCCACAGTAGTTATGACCACAGGGGTGCTTCAACTCCTCCCACCTGCCTATCTCCCAACATCTATGTTCTTCTGGCCTCTGCCTCACTGCACTCCACCGCCCCAACTGATCTTCGCCATCTTCTTGCTCCTGCTGCTGACAAGGTGTGCCCAGCCTGGCTGCGGGGCTGGGGCTGGGCTTCACACGGGGGGGGGGGGAACAAAAGCAGCCCCTTCGCTAAGAGCTTCAGGGTGGAGCTTTGCATTCCAAAAAAAAAAAAAAAGTCAAAAGCAGCAAAGGCAAAGGGGCTTTTTGGCGTGCTGTGGCTCAGGGGCTGATTTTGGGGGGGGGGTTGTTTTCTTTTTGCAGTGTGAAGCCCAATCCCGCCCAGGAGCTTTTTGGTGCTCCGTAGCTTAGGGGCTGCTTTTGCCCCCCCGCCCCCCGCAGCGCAAAGCCCAGCCCCAGCCGCCAGGCCAAGCACACCTTGTCAGCAGTGGGAGCAAGAAGATGGCAAAGGTCAGCTGGGGTGACAGAGTGCAGGGTGGTGGGGACGGCTGTGGCTTCCCAAGCTATGACAAGCAGCCCCAGCACTGCTAGGTTCTGGGGCTGCTTGGTGTCCTGCAAGGCAGGGTGTAGGATGGCCAAAAAGGCAGAGATGGGGGGAGATAGATGGGTGGGGGGAATTGGAGGTAGTCCTTTACTGTACAAAGGCTTGGGTCTAGGAGGGATGAAACCCATAATGGCTTCAGTTGGGATGGGTACTTGCTTAACAACCTGTGATTCTCAGTTAACAACAGCAATAGGGAGTGCTGAGACTGCGGTTGCTAAGCAATGTGGCCATGTTATGTCTTGCTTTACAATCGCATCACTTAGCAATGGAAATTCTGGTCCCAACTGTGGTCTTAAGTCAAGGACTATCTGTACTTTCTTTTTCAGTAACATATAAAGTAGCTTTGCAGGATAGAGAAAACTTTGTCTTTCAGTCCAGTGGAAAAAAATACAAGATAAATCAGTGAAGTAAAACAAAACTCATCTATAGTTAATATGTGAAGCAAATCTTATGCAACTACAAAGCTTAATTCGATATAGTGAATTTCATGGACATTGTGAAATATGATCAGTTTGAATGCTCATTGAGCAGATTTCTAATTTTCCTTGGCCAAGATGAGATAAGAAGCAATTCTGCAAAACAATTTTGTGTGCCGTTTTAAATATACATAATCAGTCAAGGTTTCATCAGTCTCCAAACATATATTGCAATCCTATTAGAATCAAAGTGTCAGATGACAGAATCCAAGAATTGCTTTACCTCCTCTGCTTGTGTGAAGTAGAAAAACATGCCATTTTCCAGGCAGTGAAAACCCACAAAACCTCACTCAAGGCACAAATGACCAAGGTCAGATTATCATAATTTCAACACATTATGGAAAGACCTAACTCTCTTGAGAACTTTATAATGCTGGGAAAGGTGGAAGGAAAGAAATGAAGATGATAAGCAGCAAGGTGGATGGACTCAAGTACAGCAGCAAGTGCACCCTTAGAAGACCTAAAGAACCAGATTGGGAATAGATCATCTTGGAAAAAAATCTATGTATGTGATCACTAAGAATTGACACCAACTTGATGGCACCTAATCAAAAACACAAACTAGTTGTATGAAGTAGCCATAACAATACAGAAATGAGAGCTCACCAGCACAGGTGGCAATGAAGTATAGAAACATTAAGTGCTCTCTTGTATCTGCTTTGGTTCTTAAAGTCAAGATTCGGCTGTTTTGTTGGCATAAAGGATCTAGTAAGTTTTAAAAGGTGCATGACTTCATTGAGGAAAATTAAAATACTAAATTGCAAGCAACAATGAGTTATCAAAATATTATAGAAATATTTTGGCATTCGTGTGAGCATAGAATGAAATTGCTGCAATCGACAGAAACCTAACTAAAGGTAGTCCTGGTTGAACAGCCACTCATTCAGCAATCAATTGAAGTTATGACAGTGCTGAATGAGAGGGACTTATGACAGGTCCTTGTTGCTGCTGCTGTTACAGTATCCCTGCGGTCAGATGATCGTGATCTGGGCGCTTGGCAACTGGCTTGCAATTACAATGGTTGCAGCATCCTACAATCATGTGATTGCCATTTGTGACCTTCACTGCTGGCTTCCGACAAAGTCAGTGGGAAAACCAGCAGGAGGTTGCAAATGGCGATCACATGACCGCGGGATGCTGCAACTGTTAGGTTTCACCTAATGACTCCAACTGAGACTGCTGCAACTTCCATTGTAAGTCAGGCACAGTCATGTGACACTGCGGTTTACAACTTGCTTAGCAACAGAGTTGCCAGTCCCAATTACCATTGTTAAGCAAGGACTACCTGTACTACAGTTCAGTGATAAATGATATGGATGAGAGCAGTTTTGTATACCACCAAAGCAGTGTACCTCTCAGTGTAGAAAATTGCCAAACTGGAACACTAAATCCCATTGAGAGAGAATTCTGGACCATTTGTGAATGCTGCAGACATCAGTAGTTTATTGGTATGTTTAGTCAAAACACATTCAAAAATGGAAACTTAAAAGTAAATACTTTCCACCTGCAACAAACTAGATTCTACTAGCATATAATGCTCAACACATTACAGCAATAAAGATGGTAGTCCACTGTTTGCATACCTACTAAAGCCAAAAGATGATTAAAGCAAGTTTGTTGACATAGGACTGTAACAATAGCAATATTACCTATATCAACAAATCAGCAGTAAAACAGGTCAAAGAGATCCGTTCCTTTTTTCTTCTAGAGGTACATTTATTGAAAGGAGGGACAAGAACACTATGAGTCCACAGTATAGTAGGTGAACAATCACCATGTAAACTTCTGTGTATGCTTCCAATATTGTTAGTTCATGGCATTTAAAGAAGCAAACCGGAAAGCTGAATGGCTCAGTAGCTCCTCTAATTGTCAGTTACATATTTTTCTGATTATTCCATTACTGCTATTTGCCTTAACAGTTTTATAGAAGATGGTAGGGCGATATTATAGCACTAAAAAAAGTCAGGAAACATAAACACCGAAACACTGGTAAGCAACTGCTTGTTGAGAAAGGCAGTTTTTAAAAAAGTCTTCCAACTTAATATGGTTCATGGAGAGGCATTCAAGTACTACATATCCAAGGTATCATCTGAAAATGAAACAATTCAACACAACCCCCCTCCCGCCACCCAACATAAACATGGAAATAGAGAAATGTACCCCAGAAAGTGTATGAAAATAGTGCAAGACTTACCATCAAACATGGAAGATCTCAATTTGGGGAGGAAAAAAATGATATAAACTTACTCCACCCCAACATACAAGCAAAATTTTCCACATGTTTAGGAAACAGCAAATGATTAGTTTAACCAAATGCTCCTTGCATTACACATTTTTGTTACATCATAGTAAATGAGGTCTTCCATGTTTAGAGCAGCTCTAAACGGTCACATGCTTTTGTCTCCCCTCCTCAAGAGTAAGCCTGAGGTTTGTTGAGCTGTCTAGCATGAAGCTGGGGAGTACTGTTTGCTACATTTGCAGTTTTCTGGAATGTGCTATCTATGCAAACAGGAACTGGAAACAGCAAACCTCTCACCCAAATGCAAGATGCTCTACCAAGTCCAAATACACAAGAAGAGATCTTCCCTCTATGTACAAAACTGAGCCGTGTAGGCAAAGTCACTTCAGAGTTTGTGCAAAATGGGTGATAGTTCAAAAATTGAAAATAGCAAGTATTTGAGCTATTTCCCTGCTCTATGAAAATTGCAGTATCCTTGAGTGTAACAAGTTGTATGTTAAATATGTTATCTGGAGTATACTTAAAACAAAGGGACACACTTGATTAACTTTGGACTTATCTATGCAAGAATGAATAATTCCATAACTCCACTTCCATTTTTAAAAAGCATCTACTATGTCATACCTCCCTTGTTCAAAGGCTTCAGAAACTTAGCTGTAGAGCTAGGCAAGTAATATTCCAGTAACCTTTACTGATTTAAAGATACTGCAATTTTATACAATGATTTTATAAACATTTTTACAGTTGTTAAAGTTTTGCAGCACAGCCATTCATACACTATACTGTACAAAATCACCAGCAAGACTGGAATGATGTATTTAATAGAAGGCACCATCATGCTTATTACATTACCAGAGACCTCAATACAGTAAAGACAATTTTTCACTGTACACTGCTTACAGAAAGGGAAAAGGTAAGAGGAGTGTGTTGAGCGATCAGCCATCCCTGTCTAGAGAGAGGCAGGAAGCTCATAAGATTTTTAAAAAAGAAAAACACTTGTTTTCTATTCAGGACTATGATTTTTGAAGTTTTACATTTGTGTTTACAGCTAAATGGTTTCCTTCTGGAACATATTTGTAGTCTTGTTAAGGTTTATGTGTACATATATTGGTCACAGCAAGCAGAGCAGATGCCCGCATCGTTTCACAAGCTATTATTTTTCCTTGCTGCTTTCAGCAGATGTCAACGTAAAATGAGCCAGGTACCCATTAGTGCGTTTAAAGTTCATAAAACATGAGTTGTTTGGAGTCAAGTGTTCTAAAAGGGAAAAAAAAGGGCAAGCTTTTCCAACTGCAAAGATTGCACTATTTGCATTTCCAACAGTAACACTTACACAAAACGTGCAGCAGAAGGATTTTAACACACTGGAAGGACCTTAACTCAATTAGGCATACCCTTTGTCCTTTGTTGTTGTTGCTGCAGAAAGTTTAAATGGTCATTTCTCAGTCCTTAATCTCCAAGTCTAATTTATAAGTTAACAGTATGACTTCACTTCTTTGTGAAATTAGGGAAAGAATGTCCACCTCAATTTAACTGGTAACCAAAAGATGTTTCTCACATCAAAGAAATGATAAAAAAAAGGCTGTGTTACATTCCAAAGCCAGAAAATTAACAAGAATGCAAACATGACGAATAATGTATCACTGCCAAGACTGCCTGCCAACACTGAATCTTCAGCGACGTTGACCTGTGAACCGGCCTTCCATCTGCCCTGTTCCTCTTCCAGAGCCAAGCTTCTGGGCCATGCCACCTCTCAGAGGCGGCCCTCTGCCTTCACGGTCTCGCATCATTCCACCACCCACTATGCCACGTGGACCCCCAGGACCTCTGTCACTGCGTCGAATATCCCTGCGATCATCACCACCACCTCGAGTTTCTCTTTCACGAGCAGCTCTGGTCTTTTTTTCTTCTACGTTCAAGCGCACCTCACCACGGAACATTATAGGCTTTTAAATGGGGAGGAAGGGAAAAATGGTGATACCAAAAGCTTAGTTAGTTGAATGTCCAAAAGACATAGGCCAATAATAGTTTACATGCAAAACATGTTCTAGCTCAAAATCTATCCCTACTATATTCAGTTCAAGAAACTTCAAATGATGGGACTAGGAAAGCATTCTCTCCATCTTGCAATTATTTATTTGACTGACTGATTTATATCCCATCTTATATTAAAGGAGCTCCAAGTAGTATATACAACACTTCCTCCTCCCATTTTTCCTGACAACAACCCCATGAGGTAGGTTGGGTGGAGGAAGCACAACTGACCCAAAGATACTTAGGGAGTTTCTATGGCTGAGAGTGGATTTAAACCCAAGGTTCCCCAGTTCTAGTCCTACATCTTAACCACTAAACCACACCAATTATCTCACTGGACAATTACCAATTAGAGAAGGCAATATCAGGCTAGATGGCCCCTGCGGGGAACATTATGTTTTTAAAGTATTCACAAGATATCAGAGATCTCTTGGAATTTAGTTGTTTTCAGTTTTCAATTTTCAGAAGACAAGGAAACAGGCAGATGGATTTCTCAGAGACTATTCCAGCTGAACAGTCCTAACTTTAACTGTAATATAATTCTAGTATGTGCTTTAAGGGATGGGTCATTGAAGGGTGGGAGCTTCAACAATATTTTAAGAATGTGTTGTGATTATATGAATACAGTTGATGATATTTGTGAGTGAATATGATTTGTATTCTAAAAAGTAATTTAATAAATCACTGCAACACAGTGGAATGGATTGCTCAGTTGAGATTTCATTTTTCCTGTACATTGACGTATTCCATTCAACCAGACCATTATAAGAGTTATGCAACTTTAAGAAGTAGAGCACAGATTTGCTTGCTTTAATCTCATATTTTCCCCTTTTTCTTCTTCATCACTGAAATCCTGCAAGCAAGTACTGTTACATTTTTTAATCCTAAGTACAAAGTTTTTTGTGCCATCTTTGACAAAGATGAAGTATATATTTCTGAATTTATATCAGAAATAATTACCTGCTAATTCTGGAAGCATTGCTTCCTTGCACTGCACCTTGTAGCTCTATTTTTATTTTTAATGAATAGTCTTATGCTTAAGTGTATCTCATTCTATTCCAATTCAATGCTTTCTGTAGTAGAGATTCATGGTAAAAAAGTGTTGCCATTTAAACTGTGCCATTCTCGTTTTTCACTTGTGTCTCAAATTCTAGTATATGTGATCAAGCCTGAGATTTGGAGATGAAATTATTATCACATTTGTTAAGGACTGGTCAGTCTACATATAGCATTTAACTATTGGTTTAAAAACAGTCATAGTTAACTGTGAGATCTCCTTGAATTTGCAAAACCAAGCCTTCTTTCATTTGTGGTCTGGACTGAGGGACCAGGGCAATCCCACGTTTCAAGAAAACTCTTTTCCAAATCTGTAATTTCTATATAATAAGATGGGGGTGGCTATTTACTTATTCCTGGACTTCACTGTGCAATAAAGATACAGCAGGATCAGATGAAAGTCATCTGAAGAGATATTTAGCAAGAATGTATGCTCTTATTACAACAGGATGACATAAGGAAAGCAAACTAGATTACTAAATAAAAATTGGAGCTGCCTTACACATCTAACAGAATGAGATACTATACTGGACTTTATTATTTGACTCTGCAGATAGGCAATATTATTTTGGAACATTTCCCATGCAAAATAATTCCTACAAATAAAGAACAAAGAGCCCAAGAAGAAAATTTCCCAAGAGTAGAGATTTCACTGCTTTTTCTTCATCTAGAGAAATCTACTGATACAAGACAATACAGTAGAGGTCTTGTGAACAAATTTCAGAACTGATTCAAACAAAATCTCTGTAACTCACCACCTAGTAACTATAGTCAAGTTACTTACTTTGGCCAATAAAATTTTCTGAACTGGCTCAGAGTCATCAAACACCACAAAGCCAAAGTTTGGAAGTTTTCCTCCAACACCTTTTGTATTGATGCGAAGCTCTACAACATTCCCAAAACCTGTGAAAGCATAGTGCAAGTGGTTAGGAAAAATGCATGGCATGGATTAAACAGCAAAAAACTTAAAACAGAAACACCATGTTGCTTACAGAGGCAGTTTAATATCTGAAATTATAACAGGGCTTAAGAATCTAATCATCTGGGGTTTTCTCTCCACTAGGCTTCATAGCAAAGTAAAAGAGGAATTACTTACTCATGAAGAACTCCTTCAATTCATTTTCATCAATGTCATGTGGCAGATTGCCAACAAAGAGTTGGTGGCTATCAGGATATCGAATTATTCGACGACTATCTGATTCATTTTGATCCATATCCCCTCGGCCTAAAGTAATTAAAACATGAAAAATTAATGTAAAAGCATATATTTTAACAAGTATATAAAATGCTAATTTTATATTAATATCTGAATCAAACAATCCTTGTTTTGGGGTCTTAAATATATTTTAGGAAAACTTTTGGTAATCTCAAGAGACAAAATAATCATGAAGAAAAAAATTTACCAGATTTCTAATAAATTTAAACAACAATCCAATAATATTGCCACAGATTTCTGTAAGCTTCTTTTTGTCCTATTTTGCAATTGTATCAAACTTGTAAAGAGAATCAGCCATGAAGCTACAGGAAATAAAATGTCCCCCAAGGGGGGAAAAAAATCAGGAAAGCTTTTTTGAAACATTGGAAGAGGACTAAGGACTAATAAAAAGAGGACTTTTTATTTCCTTTTTGGCAACCCAACACTATACATGTCCACTCAAAGTAAGGGCTTACTACCAGATACAACATGTGTGGCTTAATGTAAAGCTGACCTTTTTGGTTGCAAAGCAACTTGGGGGTGGGTGGGGAGATATCTGGCATTGCATATAGAAGTTCCCAGTCACAATTATTAGTAAGATTGGAAAAAATATTTTAAGCTCTGAACAGCTGCTGGCTGTAAGTGTGGTCAGTGGACCAATGAAATGGACCAATAGCCAAGTCAGAAGGCAAGATCCTATGCATTTCTGCTTCAAACCCTAGTGGCCATGATCCAAATAACTATTTTGTTGTTGTTGTTTAGTCGTTAAGTCGTGTCCGACTCTTCGTGACCCCATGAACCATATTGCGCCAGGCCTTCCTGTCCTTCACTGCCTCCCTGAGTTTGCT